GCTAGTCTTTCTACCTTGTCTAATTTTCTGTTAGATGTTATGCTTTTAGTCTTGTGCCACCATATGACTGATGAGTAAGTTATAACAAGTACTGCAACCATAGTGTAAAGCCAGTGCATCATACTTGGTTTGAGCCCCCATATCTTCCCTACCATCCGTCTACAGGCCCATAGTATTCTTACAGCTTTTTCTGTTGTTTTTCTATATGCCTTCAGAAGTTAAGCTTGTCATCAAGAGTGATTCTAAGATATTTAACCTCTTTTGCCATTTTTAGATGTTGTCCCCACATATAAAGCTCCTTCATTCCTTGAAGGTTAATTTTTCTTGTGAATGCAACAACAGAGGTTCGTGTCGGGATTGTGGACAATCCCTCTTTTAGGCACCATTTTTCGACGATATTTAGTGCCCGCTGCATTCTTTCGGATACAACAGACGCAAATGTACCGTTTACTACAATCCTTATGTCGTTTGCAAATGCTTGCGTAAGTTTTCTCTCTTTAACTCCCATAAGAGGTCATCAACCACCAAGTCATACATAAGAGGAGATAACACTCCTCCCTGCGGACATCCCTTGTTAACTGAGACCTCTCTTGTTGTGTCAAGGAGATTACAGGTAATGGTTCTGTTCTATAATTAAGCATGAACTTAACCCACTTCGTAATGCAATGGGCTACTCCACGTCTGTACATAGATCCCAGTATTGAATTGTATGAAGCCGAATCAATGGCTCCTTCTATATCTAGGAAGACTCCTAGTGCTATTTCTTTGCTTTCCAATGCTTGTTCAGCCTGTTGAGCTAGCCTATGTATGGCTGTATCCAGATTGGTAGGCAAACTGGTATCGATGTATCGGTTTATCCCGTAGAACATTGTCCCGTATATATCTATTTCTCCAATGTTTTTAGGAGAAATGATGTTAGGCTGATTGGTTTGAAAGATTTGGTCTCCACACGTAAGACACTTTCCCGGGTTTGGGAATGAAGACAACTCTTGCACACCTCCAGCTTGTGGAACACTTTCGAGGGCTATGCTAGCTTGGAATAGTTTACACAGTGGTCCCTTCAGTACTTCCTGACCCTTTTGTAGAAGTGCCGGGATTATACCATCAGGTCCAGCTGTTTTGTATGGTTGAAAGGAATTTATCGCCCACATAAGTTTTTTTCTGTTTACTGTTGAGTTTGCAAGGGACCAGTTTGTTTTTGAGACCCTATAAATTAGTGCTTCGATACTCCTGTTCTCTTGGTCAAGACTAATCTCACATCCAGGAAAGTGTGACTTTAGTAAATCTAAAGTCTCCTCCTCTGTTTTTGTGAGTTCTCTTTGTTGATTTTTCAGAGATCCCATGCATCCTTGCTTATCTCTCTGTAGAGTTTTTCTGAGCCTGGAACATTCTGGAAGGCTTTCAATGCCGTCACAGAATTTCTTCCAGGAATTTTCTTTGGCTTTCCTAATGGCATAACCATATTCTCTCCGGTACACCTCATAGGCTTCCTAGTTCCCCGACCTTTTGAACAGGTTAAAGAGTTTACGAACTTCTGCTCTTTTTTGGAAAGGTCTCGATTTCACCATACAGCATCTCGATCCGCTTTCCTAATTTTTATAGGGCAGTTTTTTTCAAACGTGTCGGTCGCACCCTAACCAAGAAACTCTGACAAAAGCTCAACTTCCACTGAATTATTCGGTGTCGGAGGACAGTCCTCCAGTCCCTGTTTAAGTTCTTTCTTGAAAGCCCCCCAGTTACAGGTCCTAGGATTACGATGATGTCTGTCTGTGTCTGTATACTCGATAACTCATGAACGGATACAGATAAAAACACTAATTTCTAAACTTAAGCTTTAATCCATCCTGCGGTGAGCCGATTAGATTTTGGGCATAGTCGGAATATCTGGAGGGGAAGGTACTTCATAGGGAGTCGGTTTTCTATTTTATGGAATATGTTATTTACGGAGATGAAAATTCTTCAAATAAAAGTGAAATCGTATTCTCTATAATTTTTGTCCTATGCAAAATTTTCCTAAAATGGTCCGTATTCGAGAAATTTGACAAAATGTAAAAAATTCAATTTTTTGTTTGTGATATAATTTTCTATAATTCTTGTCCTATACATATTTCTCTAAAATTAACCTATTCGAGATATTTGCAAAAAAGTGCATATTTCGAATTTCAAAAATGGATAAAGAGAAAAACACCAAAATTTAAATTAAAAACTTTTACCCATCCTTCGGTGAACAGATTAAATTTTTGGGCGTAGTCGGAACATCTGGTTTGGTACTTTATAGGTCGTTTTTTTTACTTTATGGAATATGTTATTCTTTATAATTTTTATCCCATACATAATTTTCATAAAATGGTCCGTATTCGAGGAATTTGACAAAAAGTGTCAAATTCAAATTTTTATGAAAATTGTTCAAATAAAAGTTATTTGCGATATCATTGTCTATAATTTTTATTCTATACATGATTTTTCTAAAATGGACGTTAATGGAAGAATTTGAGGAAAAGTGTAAAATTTAAATTTTTCAGTATTTTCGTATATAAAAATGTTACAAGTAAGGTGTGTGGAAAATGTATGTATTTAGTTAATCCCCTAAAGGGGTGATACAAAAGGTTGTACAAAATAACCGGAAGAAGCCTGTAATAACTAGACAGGAAAGTGATGTGTTGGAGACACAGCAGATTTTTTGTCATATATTATCATCATTTGTAGGTATTGTGTATATTTTTTCTTGATCTGAAAGGGATTTTATAAATTTGTTGGGCGGATTTCTAAATAAGCTAGCTAAGCCATAGCCTAGGCGGCAAATGTTTTCCGCGGTTACTAACCACGGGGTATCAACTTCTCCAAATGTCTTCTCTCTACTCGGTTCCTGGTAAATTGTAAAAAAATTTCAAATTATTTGGCATTTCTGCAAGAAATTACAACTTATTTTTGGCATCCACGATGTATTGGGAGAAACTGAAGAACGACACAAAAGACTGTCACAAGATGGTCATGCAAAGATGATGGGTTTGTTGAAGTATTGGAAAGATATTCACGATAATATGAAATAAATATCAAATTACAGTTAAAATAAGGTGATTACGAGAGCAGATGCAGCAGAATTAATCAAGAAATTTTAAACTTTGTTTACGACTGTTTTTGGAATAGTATTCTGTATGATGTAGACGATAAAAAATTACAACAGGAAGACGCAGATATTGGATTGGTTTTAAGGATGATTTTAAAATAAACGATATCCTTGACGCGTTCTTACTAGTCAATTTTAGTTGACCAATTTTAGTTGATCTACAAAAGTGATGCGTCATCATGAATTGTTTGAAGCTTGTCTTGAATTGTTTGTAGCTTGTCTTTAAACGTGTGAACTAGACAGTTAACTTTTGTCGAATGTGTAATACATAGATAAAGTGTAGTACGTTTACAACTTTAATCTTGGTAAGATTGCCTGACGCATCACTGTATCTTGTTTTTTATGCGATCTTGAACTTTTGAGAGCATTTCCTAGAATTTCTCTTCAAACATTCGTAAATGATTTCTATACCTTAGATGCTTAAAAATCTGTCTTCTCAGAATCCACTGCCTCACCCAAAAATGACGTTTCTTACGACGTTTGTTCATATCAACAATTTTTTTCAGTTCTTCTTTTAACAAAAGTTAAACAATCTGTAGACATTCAACGCTATTTTACATTAAAACTGATAATTCAGTTAATATTGAAATGTGTGAACAACAATTGATTCAAGTTGTATTCAACTTTTGTTGATCAACTAAACTTGACCCGTGAGAACACGCCTTCAGTTAAACAATTTTTATTGATCAACTAAAATTGAATCAAGTTTTCGTTCACATGTTTCAACGAATGTTGAATCGATAGTTGAAGTAAAATGGCGACTAACGAGGATATTCGTGCGGGCGTTTGTGTCATTTGTGAATTAATAAATACAGAATTCAGAAATATTTTATCAGAATATAAGAAAAAACGAGCAAAACGTTATGTTTGTGTTCGGAAATAGATTTTGAGAAAGGTACTTCAGGAACACTTTTGCGAGAACTTGCCGCAGATGTTGAAGGATAAAGAAATTATTTAAGCTTGTCAGAGAAAAAATTTGAAGAACTCCTTTCTAAAGTTTAGTTAAAAATTGCTAAAATAAGATAAAACTATGCGTAAAGCACTCCCAGCAGCTATAAAATTACAAATTGTACTAACATATTTAGCAATAAGATATCCATTCAGTACTTTAGGTTTTATGTATCGAGTACCACAAAATAATATTTTTAATTTCATTAAACCAATATGTGAAGTAGAAATATCTATTTCCATTTGTTTTATTCTGGAAGATAATACATCCCTTGCATCCCTATCTTTATAAAAATTTAATTTGACAGTCGTGTTTCTGATACAAATCCAAGAAAATGGAGAACAGTTTCTGACCACTTTTCAGACATTTTTAAAAAGCATTATAAAAGACTTAATAAAAAGACAATAGCAACTATTTTCAGACATTATAAAACTTGAAAAACCGAACGGATAGTCCAGACGACTCAAATCATGCATAAAAATCGTAGGATGACTAATGACTCATACTTGAACGATAAAGGTGGAATGGGTCGAACTTTTGTTGAGCAATTTTTGTCGTTCAACAAAAATTGAATTGTAGGTTCACACAGCGATTTTAATTCGATTGTAGTTGATCAATAAAATTCGTTCAATTAAAATAGACTAGTGAGAACGCGCCTTTTGTAATAATTTTAGATTGAAATTGAAGCGTCAAAAATGTGTATGACAGGGAGATTTCCTACATTTGTGATTCTAATAAACGTTTGCATAATTTTCGTATATCTTATTTTAATACCTATTTATCTGAATTTATTTCAAAATACGTAAGATACACAATTGGTATCAAAATATAAGATTCACACATCACATAGGCGGCATATTTGTAAATCTGGTAGGAACGATAGAAAGTTAATCGGATCGGCTTCTCACCAAAAATAATTGCTTTTTAAAATTTACATCTTTATTTTATTTTTCTATAATTTGTTACAATGTATTTGGAATGTTATTATTTTTCCAGTGTGTTGGATAGGTAAGTAATTTCACTTGAAATATAAAAATTGATGTGAACCAAAAATACAAATTTGTTGTTAGGAAACGTCAAACCTTTAATTAAACCAGATTCACTTGGTGAACATAGTTTAAACTGCAATTCAAAAACTAGTTTTTAGTAATTCATTATAATGAAATACCTTTTTGTCATTTATAGCATTAGCAAATATATAAATTCTATGGAAGCTCTATTGATTATTATAAAAAAATGAATTTTCTAAGAAACAATGAATTAATGACAAAGCAAATATATTTGTAACAGAAAGATGGTATCATCAATCTCTAATTCAACTGTATTTAATTTTTTCATAGTTTTTTCAATTCTCTCCAAAATTTCTCTCTCTGGTGGAGTAATCATTTCTTCAATCTAGAATATAAAAAATATATATATAAAGCTGATTGGAAGTTTACAATTACTAATAATTAAAATTATAACTACCGTGAAATAGTAACAAAGGGTACGATAACATAAAAATATTAATATTTGCCTAAAATTACAATCTTAGGTGCGGATAATTTTTATACCTCTGCCAATTGATCTTCTTCAGCTCCCTGTGATCTCATTCCCAAAGTAATTGTATCAACTCTCTGTTTTTTATCTATAATCCTTTTGTTGGTTATTTTTTCATGGTTCCTTCGAGTCATAACATTGAAAAGAGTTTTATAGCACAGTTCTAAAATCATCCTCACAACCAAGTCGAGTTTAATATGAAAGAGAGTAAAAGATTTCATTGGTCCACTACCACCAACAGCAGCTTTTCTCAGTTCTTGAATTTGTAGAAAGTTCTCTTCTAAAAGTTGATAGGTTAGTCTTTTGGCTTCTTTAGCAGGAATCATAGCAAGTCTTTGAATCATATCTGGTTCTACATACTAAAAAAAATATTTTTGATCTTATTAAATAAATAACATAGACCCATTTAGGAATACCACTTATGAATATTGTGTTTATATAATTGAATATTTTTATTTTAGCTATAAGTTACCTGTTTTAATTTGACTAATCGGAAAATTCTTGCAGCTTTTGTATCAAATTTTTCCATAACACTCTGTTCAACAATTTCCCAAGCAAATTGTGTATAAGCTTCTTTTAAATATATTTGAAAAGAACCTCCACTTGCTTCCCCTGCTTTTCTAATAAGATTGCTATGATCTTGTTCTAAAATAAATAAGGTTGGATGACAAATAATGAGGCGAACGTGTATGTAGTAAACCATTAGCTTGCATGCAAATTATCAACTACTTAGAATAATACTAAACAAAAATGTTAAAACCAAAAGTACCCTATCAAATTAATTGTAATACTGCGATGTTTAATTTAGTTTGTCAAGCAACCTAAATAATAATTTATTTATGTATCAGAAACATACAGGTTGCCCTAATTACACATTCCTGTAACTTAAATAAAAATATATTTTTTGAGAAGCATTTAAATGTCCCGAAATAAAATACCATGAGACGTAAATCGAGTGGTATTTAAGGAGGATTATATAGAGTAAAATTTGCATAAATTGTAAGGAAACAAAATGTTAACAAAAAAACTCTCACCTCGCGTGGTATTTAGAAAGATTATTTAAACAAAACTTTTATAATCAACATTTGCTTGTTTTCATAAGATGAAGTTGAAAGTGATGTCAATTGATTATTTACAATGTATATATGAAGAACCAAAACGAATTTTATCCATTTTTCATCACCATTTTGGCAAACTTCACATTTACATTTTGCAAGATTGTGGGAAAACACTCACTGTTTTTAGATACAGTTTGTTTTGATTGGTGTGTATTGGAATAAAAAAGAATTGCCATTTGTCGATGTATTCTACGTTATAAATAATGAGTACAATCCGATTGAGTTGGACTGGGGAATCTGTGAACAATACTACAGTAAATGTTACATAGGAAGAAATACATGGGGGAACAGCAAAGTGTGGAACAATGCTTTAAAAAATAACACCTACAATATACAGAAAAATTAATTCAAGACAACCAGGAAAAGCAAATTATATATGATGAAGATTAAAGTAGGATTATCATTGAATTGACATGGAATTCAGATGATGAAAACTATTTCAATGATCAGAATAATAGATTTTTTAAATTTAGCATTTAGAAATGTGTTTATCTTAAAATTAATTGATAGCTATATTATTTTATAGTAAATCTATTTTTTATTGAGCGAGATGAATTTTCAAGCTCTGTAGTTCTTATCCAGTAGAACAAAGAAATAAAGTATTTTATAAACAGCAGAATATTGACTGTTTTTAAAGTATTTAAAAATACTACTGGAATCTCACTACATGCAGATATATGCAGAAATTAAGAATATATAAAATGCCTGGTTCAGTTATTATTACAAATTCAGTTTGTAATCACTAAACCAGATACCTACCAATTATGTTAACATACTGATCAAAAAAAGTATTAAGTTGACCCAAACTCTTCTGTTTTCTGGCCAAATCTTTTATTTCCAAGATTGGTATAGGATTAGACACATCAACCCATGGCTCTGTTCTAATATACATTTGTTGTAATAGCATTTTTATCAGTTCTCCTGCATTTTCATCAAATTTTTTAGTAAAAGCTGAAACGATTATTTTATCCCTCATATCTTGATGAAACCTGTCAAAGTTTACTTGCCAATAAATGTCATTATCCGGAAAAGTGACATTTTCAGCAGATTTAAATTTCTGAATGAGATTTAAATCTATAGGAGGTAAAATGTGCATTTCTTTCTCATTGCTCACTAATTTAGGGACAGGTTTATCTGTATCTTCATTTACAGGTAGTCTTATTAAATATTTGGCATTAACCAAACTAACAAATTCGTTTTTTAACTGACTAAATGAAACAACATTGTCACCATTTTTTGTTAATCTCTCATGAACTTTTAGCAAAGCTTCTGTGGCAGTAATGTAACTTCTTTGTAATAATTCTTCTATAATCATTTCACTGGTGTCACCAAATTTTTTCTTAATCATATTGATGTATTTTGGGTATCTTAACATGAGAAGTACTCTCTCTGATTTTAAAGAATAATTTGCTATATTTTCATTTTGATTTGTTGTAAAAGTTACTAATTGGTACTTGATTAGTATAGTTAAAGATTCTTTTACCTAAAATAAATTAATTAAATAAAAACCAATTTCCCTTGTTTTTTTGTATTTTTGTGTTGCATACATTCTAACAAAAAGAGTTTATATGGCCCAGTATTATGTGGCCCAGTATCATAATCCAGGATGATTGGAAAATACAATATTAATAGGTTTGGCATACAGACAATTTGAAGATGCAAATCAGCACTGGAGCTGGGATTTACCATGCAATATCAGCATCTACCATTAGTATAAACTTGGGATCACTGGCAACAGCCTTCCATGTTAAAGTAGCATCAAAATTCCTGTAGGCAGATTACAGTACAATCGAAATTAATATTGGACTGACTACCAACACTTTCCCCATGTCCTAGCAGAACATAATGTCACTCAAAGAGTAGGGGCTGGGATATGAGGGAAGTGTTGGGAAACAAGAGAGCATGCAGACCTCCTAGCTGAGTTGAGAAAACTCTAACTTAAGGCCAACCCATATAATATGATATTTCATATAAACAGGGTCAGTGGTTAGAGTCTGGACTTGCGAATCCAAGGCGCCACAGTTCGAATCCCACTGGTGGCTGGGATTTTAATAATTCTGATGTATAGGTAGGATTCCCCCACTCCAACCATTGACTGTTAGGTTCTAATTAACAGTGCTGTTCCTGAAGTGACAAATCCTACACATATATTAATAAAATAAATATCAAATCATAAACTGAGACTGGCATATTAGATGTATACCTAGGATAGGGGTCGGCAACCTTTCTTGAGTTAAGAGCCATTTTTTGCGATATGCTAAATTATTATTTAAAAGAGCCAAATATAAGTACAGATATCAGTTATATTAAAAAAAAATAATATAACGGTTAGTGGGGAGTGAGTAGCAAGTTTAGCTAAAGCTAGGTTCTAGGGATATATGGGTGCGATCTGCCATGCATTTTGATGTGTGTGCAGGATTATTAAAATTTGTTAGGCAATGGAAATATTAAAGTTAATTTTTCAATACTTTTAAACTACTCAAAGAGCCTACGGAGTGGTAGGTAGCGACCTAGGCCATTAAAAAAGGAAGTTAAAAAGTGACATTAGTACAATAAGCTTAAACAACACTAAGAGTCTTGAATCATACAATAATACAGATAGAAATCTAACTCCTTAGTGTATCATGGACGCCGTTCAAAAAATTTCCATAGGGCAAGTCTTATAGGCAGGGTCAAAATGCTGCAGGCTAATGCCAATGCGAAAAATCCAAAATCACAAACTTGCTTATTTCAAATAATGTATATTGACTAAGAAGTATTTGTTTGTTCAGTGCAACTAAAATAATTTTTTATTTTGTGAATTTTCTGATAACTTTAAATGACAAACTTGTAGTTTAGGCAGGTACTAAAACATATGTCTATACTATGAAGACTGGAGATAAGGAGGCGAATCGGGATACTCAAAATACGGTCCCAAAAAACGCACGCTAATTGAGCTTTTATAATTAACCACATGGGCGCTGGTACTGCTTACAGTGTTAAAAATACATGGCTTCTTATGGGAATTATACATAATTTTGTCAAAATAATAAAAATAAACTTATTTATAGCTAAATAATGCACAGAACATACTGTTGTATTTATTTCTAAATAAGTCTTGCATGTTTTAATTGATAAATTATTTAATTTTATCTATATAGAATACAAATTTGGTAGATATAACCAAATTCGAAAACGTTTGTTAAATGCTGAAATTTGATTTAAAGTACAATTTTGTGGCAAATTTTTTTTGAATTAAACCTATATATAGTTTTAAGCACAAACTAAAACACAGTTAACAGATTTTTAATTGTTGTAATACAAGTACAAAGGGAGATTTGGGAATGTACATGGTATTACCTCATCCTTTAATTTCTGCTTTCCCCTTTTTATTTTGCTAACAGTACCATCAGTAAAAATAGTCTCATAATATTTGATATTATTTTTTAAAAAGTATAGAACAGCATCATCTCTAGAAAGTGCTTTATCGGCACTAGGAACGATATATATGCTGCCACTCTTCTAAGCGTTTAGTATCCTATAAAAAACATTTACAATGACTAAATTGAGGTTTAACAAAAAAATAACAGTAAACTCTTTATCTAACATTTAAACTCTATAAAAAATAAATTTTCTTTTCTAGTAAGTTAAATTTAATGTATAATTATTGTTGTTTGTAAGTCAGGATCTATGACTGTAAAATTTTATATTATAGTAACTTGTAATAAAATAAACTACAACTCCGTAAGATACATATTGTGAGTGACTAGTTTACAATAAATATTATATTTAGACATATATACATTATTATACTTACATTAGAAGCTTTAAAAAGACATTGAATTGATTTCTCCTTGTGTTTTCTTTAGTTTTACATTTGATTTGTATTCTGTTTTACAATCTGGAATGACGTAAATCTTGCTTTGATGTTTTTTGTCACTCAGCTACTTTTTTTCACATTATTTTGATTCTTATCACCAATTTTTTTTAAAAAATCACTTTATTTTACATTGACTTACATAGAAAATTGACACGCTGTTATTCGATATGCCAGTCAATTTCGCGAACTTTATAAAAAGGACAGAAATTTGATCATTGCCGATTCGCCTCCTCTCTAGTCTCCATAGTCTATACCAGCCATACTCAACCTGCAGCCCTCAAAGCTTTTTGTGTGGGCCTCCAAGCTTTTTTTGTGCAGCCCTAAACACTATTTTCAGGAAGGTGCTTTTTAAAACTAATGCTTTCCGTTTTTAAAATTTTGAGATAAAAGCCTGAAAACATTAATATTAAGTGATAAATATCATGCTCTCATGCTAATATTTTTATTGTTTTGCATTTATGTTTTGTGTTGTATTAGAGATCCAAACTGATTTTAAATGCAGTCCTTTTTTGAAACAAATTGTCCTTGCGACTTTTCAAAGCTTATTAAAGCAACATCATGAGCACCTTTTTTTAGAAAATAAACCGTCACCCACTGTCCTTTATTTTACATTTCAAAAAGGTGGCAACTCTAGTTATCACACAAAAATATTGCTGTCTGTGTAGCATAACAAACAGATTTATGTGGCCCGAAAGAAAAAAAGGTTGAGTACAGCTGGTCTATACTAATGTGTTATGTGAGCCTTCAATCTGAGCTGTGTCCAAGCCATAGGAGTCTACCTCAGTCGGCGTATCCAGGTATGGGTTGATAATTTCTGATGGTGGAGAAGCCACCACCCTAAGAAAAATAATTGCTTCATCTTTGTCTCTCAGAATAAGTGGGAGCAGCAATAAGTACAGACATACGTTTTAGTACTCGACCAATCTACAAATCTACCCCTTACTTTCATATTTTTCTGTTATGCATAAAATGCCAAAATTTCACGTTTTTACAAATTGTATCACCTTTGGGGTTTTTATTCATCATTTAAAAATGTTCAAAAGTTGAGATATATTTCATACAACAGCAGTGACAATATTTAGGTTTCATAATTTAGTTAGTTTACCTTAGAAAGTGGTAGGTCTGTTCTTTTTTTAATATGAAGTAAAGGACTGCTTCCATATTGATATAAGGATGTTCCTACTTTTTCTACAACCGGACCAAATCGTTCAATTAACAGTAGGCCTACAACTTTGCCCAATTGTGAAGACATTACAAAGATATTGTCTACTTATAATTTATAAATTCGTCATTAATATATATGTGATAGTAATCACTGCACAATTAAGTTAAATTATTTTAAATGACACATAGTTCTATCAATAATAGTTTTATTACTATGCCTTGGAATTGCCTTTGAATTTTCAATATTTCAATTTATCCATCACGTTAGCACATTCCTAAAATTTGAAATTTTGAAAATTTGTTAGGTTAAAGTGGTTAAAGGATGTCATCATAGATGTCATTCATCCACGCAATCATCTGCCAGCAGTGGGATTCTGTTTGCTATCGACCACGTCCGACCACAGAATAACCAGTCCGACATTTCTTTTCAGTCAATTGTCAACAGTTTTACCCGAATCTGTTAATCAAGTTCTATGGATAAATGTCAAAATAAAATAGGAAAGTGCAATGGACTAAATTGACTGGTAAAATTTTTGCATTGTTTTGCTATAATTTCAATTACTGTTTTAGAAAACTAGTTAATTAGTATTTAGAACATTCATTTAAGAAATAACTAATACGTACATTTAATCAGTAAGTAACTACATTTCTTTAGTGGAAGAGATTAATTTGATAATGTTTATTAGATACTGTGCCAAAAATGGAATTGTCATCTGGTAGTCCAAATTCTTTAAAATTAACAAGGGGCCAAAGAAATTCTTTTTATTCAGTAGAGGCTGAAGTGATAGATGTTAGTAAAATTAATTTTGAAGACGATGAAACTTGGTAAGAACATACACATTCTACTTTTAATGTTTCACTGCAAATAAACACTATAAGTGTGTAACGCTTTTCTATTCCAATATTTTTGCTATAAAAAAAATAATAAATAGTAATAAAGTAGGTGTGTGCATTTTTAAATTTAAATTGTTATTCATACCTGATTATTTTTTGTTATTTAGGGCAGCTAGGTATCGATATTTCATGAGGTTAGTCATACATATGCAATATACCTGTACATGTCTCAGAGCCAAACTATTGTAAATAACATTTTTGAAATATTCAGGAGACTATGATATACCAATTTAGGCTTTACTGTATTTTAATTAACCATAAAAATGTCATGAAATAATGTATGTGATTTTTAAACAGGTTATATTCAGGAAAAACAAATCAAGACTATACAACTAATGTGCAAGACTGGCTTCATAATGGTTTAGAATCCAACTCTATATTGAGTTTAACTTCATCTACTGTTGATTTACAAAAAAATATAGATACCAGGACATTTACCCGCCCAAAAAAACGATTTTCTCGTCCTAGTATAGAACAATATAATGATTTGTATGGAAGTAGTAGTGAAACAATCACTATACACTCGGATTCTAAAAGTTTTGTTATAGAAGAAAAAGCTGAAACTGATATTTCTAAACCAAATTTTGATTTAACCCAACCTTCAAGTAGTTATTATTTTGAAAAGATGGTAGCTGATTCAGAAGAGGCAACAGATTCCTTTCTAAATATGTCACCTCCTAGTCTTGTAAACTCTATGTGTTCTTCAATGTTTGCAAATTTAATGGAAAGTAGCTTTATCAAAAATGATCCTATCCTCAGAGAAATAAGAGATGCCGACTATTCTGATTCTGTTTTACTCCAGGATTCAGAAACTCCCATGATGCAGAGTATAGAAAGTTGTAGCAGTATTAACTCTGATACTCCTGAAAGTTTTTTGAAAAAGGTTTTATTTAATGGTACATTTAAGAAGAACCTGAGTGGCGATGGTGATAAATGTCTAAATTCAACTATCATTATTGATAAAGCTGTTGAACAAGGTAAATAGAATTAACTATTTTATGAACCACAAATTTGTTGTGTACTACCTAAAACAAGAATATATATGTTTGTTGAAGATATTTATTAATACTAAAGTTGAATGAACATTTTCATCTTTAATTAATTATTCGGAACAAAAACAAAGTTTTGTAGTACTTATTTGAAAAAAATTTATACTTGTATTATTTTACTGATGTTTAAATATTAAAAACCATGAAAATATGCAATAAATGACATTAAAACTGGTAACACACATGTAAACATCAGTAGGTACTTATCTTTATTTTTTACAACAAAAAATATTGTTTTTAGTACCTAGCTTTATTTTTTACTACAAAAATATATTTTTTTTACTTAATTTAATTAACTATTTTAGTGTCAAATATACAGGCACGCAAAATTAACAGTTCATTGCATGAATTAAAAATAAATTGAAAAAATAAGTCATTTTTTATAGTAATTCTTTTTAAGTAATATTCACAATGTAGTTTAATCTAATTGTACTAAATTGTTTTAAATACTCATTTTAGGAGTTTCAGAAGATGGAGACTCTACACTTAAAAATATTACAGAGAATGATCAAACTTATATCAATCCTAATAGTACATATCGACGGACTCCTAAACACTCTCTTACATTTAAAAAGTCTGATATTAAAAAAAGTCAAAAGCTGCTACAATCGACATTTGAAGTTCTGCCTCAAGAACAATTGCACTGCAACAGAACGCATACACTAATAGACTGTGGTAGTTTTGAAGATATCAAGAGGGATCTATCTAACCCAGTAGAAGTGCATACAGACCTAAATAGGTAAAATTAACAAACTGTTTCAATTAAATTAATTTATCAAGTTAAAAGTACACATATTTTTTAGATTAAGTTATTGCTTAGAAAACGAGGTAAAGTTAGACATGACTTACAATGAAATTAATAGAGCAACTAATTTAAAATCATCAGTACTAAGTGGGTCTGCAGGTTCAGCTGACAGTCTTGACAGATTAAGTAGCATGTCTGGAAGCAGTAGAGGATCAAATAAAATGCTAAATATGAGTGATGTCGATGCCCTAGTTGATATGCAAGAAAGAAGTAAATGCAAATTATATTTTATGAATAATTTTATTAAATTTTATTTTTATTCCTTTGTTATGCAGATTCAATTTTTTATTTATTTAGGTCTTCAGCAAGCAATGTCTACTCCAAAAAATGCATCTGCACCTAAAATATTATGGGACAACAATTTTACATCACCAATAGTACCTCTGGAAGCTACATCGGACTCTGATTTATCATCAATTGATGACTACAAAAGTGTAAAATCTACTGAATCATCTAAAACTTCTTTAGATGGTTACATGCCAAAACAACAATCTAAAAGAATGAATTATATCACAGGACCTGCAGATACCAAAATAAAAACAAATCAAAAGTCTTCTTATACTGTCGTGGCACCTAAACCAATGGCCCCTGTTAGGTAAAAATATCTTAATTACTAATACAGAACTAAAAAAAAATAAATTTCCTAGGACTCAGGTGCAAAATGCTAAAGTGAACTCATATTCCAACCTCAGACATTCAAATATGCCTGGATCAAACCCAAATCTGTATAGGCCCAGTACTTGCAAATCGCCACCAGCACCCACATCCAATTTAAAGGCTATGGGGCCAAAATTAAAAGGATCTTATACCAGTTTGAGACCCATGAGTTCGATTCTGCCTGTAGCACCACCACTAGTTAGCAATGCAAATCAAACAATGACAATCTCGAAGACTGAGCATCACAATGTGATGCATACTTTGGACAGTGGTACTAGAATTGTCGAAGTAAGTACTCTTTTGTTTTCTTATTAAATTAATTACAATAATTATTGTTTATATTATTTTTTATTAGGTTAAAACCTTACATAAAGAAAAAGCTACTGTAGATGATACATTTATTAAACCCCCACAACCAAAGCCTAGTAGCTTGCCTCGTCCTTCTAGCATTCCTAGGCCAGCTACTAGTTCTAGAATACCTGCACCCCGTAGTAGTAACGTAAGGTAATTAAAACGTTATTTCATAAAAGTATTTGTTGGATTGCTAAGTACAATGTATTTTGAGTCGCCACTAAAAAAAATTATATAAGGTTTGTGATGTTTGAATAGTTCGAATAGTACTTTTTAAGGAATTGCTGTATATTTCATTTATATCTGAATTAGGTGATAATTATTTGATTCTTGAACTTAATGGATCAAAAAATATATATTTGGAGCTTCCTAATGTGTAAAATTTTAAGTCTCTCCATAATTTTTTTTTTGCTTTTAAAGAACAGTCAATTTACTCTTTATATCAAAACACATTTGACGAAATTACTACTAATGATCCAATTAAAAAAAAAAAGAATGTAAAAAGTGTAAACTGATATTTTATAATTTATTACTTTTTGAATTCCAAATTTAAATGGATTGCAAGAGACCTATAAAAAATAAACACTAAACTCAATTTGATAAATTTAGATTCTCCCCATCTCTTTCTATAATAATTCTAATCATGTCTTAGATATTTTTTAATAATTGTTATTTCACTACTTTATTGTTTCAGTAATTGTTTTTGTTTGTGTAAAATATTATTCAAAATTTAACTGAATTTTAAATATATTTCCTAGACAGTAAAAAAGTTATAGGTTTAAATCTTTTGCAATTTTTTTAATGTCCACAAAAGTAAAATACATTCACTTTTATTTTGCTGGCTGGTGGCCATGGAAATGTGGATACTTGTTACCCGCGCGACGCCTAGCGGAGTGGTAATCTGTCGAAAGTGGCAACGAACTTTTCACTTAAGATGCACACAAGATTTTTTAATTGAAAATTTGTCGTAAGTAGTGTATAATGTGTTGCCTATATCTACGTTAATAATGAAAAAAGGAGTTGATATTCAAAGTCAATGTTAACTTAGATAATAAAACAAAAAACATGTACAAATAACTTGAAAATAATTTATTAAAAAGAAATATTATACCTAATTAAAATTAATTTTGTCGCTCGGTGAAAGACAAAAGCTGTCAGTTCGCGGTAAACGACAACCGGTTGCATTTCGAAGCGCAAAAGCTTACTTTGATTAGTGATCGTAGAAAAATTGTTTTATTGGGAGTAAATGTGATACTTTTATGACGAGTTACAAGTCGTTAATTTTTCTCTGAATAAAACGGTTATAAAAAATAAGTATGAATTATAAAAAATATTGAATTTCGCCATCAAATAAGTTGAGACTGGAGGCAAGCTTACTTTTACTCTGCTGCCAATAGCAATGCTCTGTTAAACTTCAAGTGTCACTTTCCAGTTATCAATTTCCCTTGTTGTCTGTATTAAAGGGTGGACCAGAAGTTGAACAGGCCTTCAGTATGTGTAGAGGTGGGCGAATCTCGTCCGATGACTTTGAGAATTTCGCGAAAATGTTTGTTCGCCAGTGTCGTATTGTAGAATAAAAATAATGCCAATAATTTTAAATTCTTACCATCAGAACTGGGCAATCATATGCATTTATGGGCTAGAAATAATTGTTTAAACAACTATCTCAAATCATAATTATATAAAATTTCAACGGCTATTGACAATTTATTAAATTATTTACATGAATATGTGAAATTGTTATTAGCATCTATACAATAATTTTTGATGCCAATATATCGTGTTCATTTTAGTGTGGGTAATCTGTACTTCCGCGGCAAAACTGTCCAATACCTGCGTTTGAAATGGGAGAACTGTGGAAGGCCTGTTCATCTTCTGTATGCCTTCTACATTTCGCAATATACCTATCTCATTTTTCGACCTTTTCGCATTACTCGTGCACGACTTACTTTCTATTTCTCTCGTATCCTCAATATATAACTACAACTGTTGGGTTGGCTGTAACGATTACCCCTGTCATCTTCTCTTTAAACAAGAGTGCGTTTAGAAACCTCGCACGGCGCGTCTGACCACATACAATAGAATAGGGTCCAGACGCGTTGTGCGAGGTTTCTAAACCCACTCCAACTGTCGTCAAGTTTCGGTGGGTGTATTAGGCATTAAAAAAATGGTTGGCTAATGAAAATGTCACACAAACCCTATTTTTCACATTGAGTTAATTGTTCTGTGCTGGAGTTATTAGGTGTTTGATATTCATAAAATCAGGCATTGCAAATCTTTTCGAAACGCAGTATTCCAAAACTTAGTTTTATTTCGTTTATCTTTTAAATCTAAATTATGAGGGCTGTTCTCTTTCCGTTCAGTCTAGTAAAGTAAAACAGTTTATTTACAAAAAACATTTATTTATAATTATTCAAATTATTCTCCATAGTCGATGCATTTTTACATCCGCAAAAATCATTAAAAACATTTTCTCCAAATCTTCTGGCCTTCACCCTCCCCCCCTTTCAGGCTTCCCTCTACATCCCCCGTCTAGCCACTAGCTCCCCTCAATCAGGCTTGGGTCCAGCCACTGGCTCCCTTAATCAGGCTTGGGGTTGTTCCAGTCTGCTTGGGGTTCGCATGGCGGCACTGAGACGCAGGTGGCGTATTGGATACTCGCTACCCTACTCCTATTCATCATACATTCATTCATAATACATTCATTGATTCCACTTCATCAATGGATAACTGCTAGTCGGCTAACGGACGCCCATCCAAGACGTGACCAGTGACATCACTGCTTATCTGCTGTGAGAATGTAAATGCACACTAGTCTCGCGGCTAGCCTCTCCGGCCTTAGTTTGTTTATTTCATTTTTAAAGGCATCAACCACTTCTTCAGCCGATGTAAACTGTAAACTCCATAATTTATCCTTTACCCGTGGAAATAAGAAGTCATTAGGTGCTATATAGGTATGGACTATACGACGAATAACTTATTTTTTCTATGTTTTGGAATTCAAATACTCATTTGTTTAAGCAGCAGTGTGAGCCTGGGTGTTATATTGATGCAAGATATTATTTCCTCTTGAACGTTTTTGCGAACCTTTTGGTAAGCCTGAGGTAAACAAACTGTAGTGTACTATTCTGAATTAACAGTACGTCTATCCTCCAGTGCCATAATGGAAACAAGCCCAGTAATTCCAAAAAAGTGGTTACCATCTTTTTGTTTCGGCTTTTGTTGGAGCCGACTCATTCTCAAAGACCCAAACTGACGATTGTTGCTTTTTTGCGGGTTCATAGCAATATACCCTTGTTTCATCACCTGTGATGATGTACACCAAATTAGAGGATCCACGGTCACTATCTACAACATGGTCTTTTTTGAGCTAAAGTCCATTTGTAGGGAATCTACCGGAAAAAAAAAGCTAATGGACTTTCAAATGTTTGTATAAAATAGCGTAAATTGATTTCACACCAATCTTTAAAGTTGTTTGAATGTTTCTGACAGTAATGGGCCAGTCCTCTTTAATCACGTTCCGAATAAGATCAATATTTGTTTCTGTAACTGCCGTTTTTTGGCTTTGGAGCTCGAAAACTTGTCATTTAAGGAACTTCGACCACGTTGAAATTCATTGTACCATCGATTTACGATCATGAAGGAACACGACTTGTTAGCAAGCACTCAATTGATTTCCCCAAAACATTCTTTATGGTTTAATCCTACTGAACTACATATTAAATAGGTCGGTGTTTAAGCCACGCTTGAAATTGTAAAAACAACTAGATTAAAATGCCAGACAAAATTTATGATATGGCCAGCGTCAAAATGATAAACAATACAATTAGTATGAAATAAAAATATGGTCAACCATACTGCCAAATTAAAGTGAATGTATTATATTAAATGGAAGTATGCTGTTAAACTGAAAAACAAAAATAATTCACAACTCCGTCCATCTTGAAATCTTAAATGCCAAAGCATCCATGTGAATTTAAGAAAATTTTGTTATGGAAGCAACAAATTCAGTTTAGATTATTTTTGGCTGTTATATTAAAAAATAAGGTAAATTTAAATTATTCTTTTTTAACATTTTTTTTTTTTTGATCTAATACATTTCCTTTTTTGGGTAATAGATTTTTGAAGGTCTCTCTTGTTCTAATAATTAAAAGTTTTTTTAATTGGCATATATATATTGTACCATATCACTGTATATACTTTGCAAATCAATATATATTTTTAGAAATTTTAAATGTACATGAAAAATCGTAATTGGTGATAAGGTAGCTGTCAATCCAAAGAATATCTTACCGCCAAAGCCTTAATAAAGATGATATTAAAAACATATATCAAAATATTGATTTCGTTTTTGTAAAAGTTTGACAGACTGATTCATAAAATAAACGAATCGACATACTGTATGATCTGATACGAAGCAATAATACATGTATTACGACCTACTAGTTGCTCATTTTCCACTTTTAGAGGTTATGAAACTCAAATACTAACATTAGTGATCTAACTTTTATAAAACTTTTAGGCGAATACCTCCGAGACCTACGTTTAGTGGTAAACAGTTAACAAAAACTCTAACCCAGTAACAATTTAGGTTGCTGTATGTGCCTTAATTTTGTATATGAGCTCTTATAATATAAGTATTGTGAAGCATATCCACATTAATACATTTGTTTTATTCTATTTGTCTCAATTTGTTATTTATACATTAATATTAATATATTTATTAAATTACGTTATTATTTTATTCTGTAAGAGCGTTCACTTTTAATAACTTTCAGCTTATTTTTTTTTATTAAAATTAAAAGCATTAAATATGTGGACTGGTATAAAATTGAACACTCTTATTTAAATTATTTATATTGTGTGTAATTGACTTCTTTTTTACTGAAAAAAGTATTCTTAAGAAAATTTGTAACCAGTGTCCTGAAAGTACTCTTATCATGCCTTAAGCATGATTATATAAGGTCAATAACAATTCATAGATCTACACATTTCTGTTAAACTATAGTTTCTATGGCCTAAAATATTTTTACAATGGGTTTTTATACGCTCTCAACTTGTCAATGATTTGACAAAATCATTGACCTATCAATTTCAAAAGACAAAATGGAGAGTTCAGGATTCTAGGTAAAATATAAACCTGCTTGCAAAATATTAATTGAAGTGATTTGTTATTTATTAAAATGGTTTTACTGTAAAGGTAATTTCTTTATAAATATTGTGCATGTTTCTGATACGCTCACACAAGGTGGTCCAAAATGAAACTTTTTCATTAATATTACGTACTACATGGATTTACAACAGACGCTATTTACACGAAATTTAAGAGAAAAAAATGGTTTTTATAAAAAATAAGTTGAATGAAGTTGAATCAAGCCCATATACAGAATCTTCAACAATAATTTTATCACACATAAAAAAAATCACCAGCTGGCTAAGACTAATAATAATAACAAGCCGTAACCCAAATGCCGCTGACGTATTTGACAGAACTGTCACTAAAAAAGGCAATTTCGATTAAATTGCTTATTTTACCAGATGGCGTGTGATATGGGTATTGTTGAAGTATATTTATACATAAAAGTAATAAATAATATAAGAAAAAATGCTTTAAAGCTAATCGAATTAAAATTTTGTCTTCAAAAAATTACTTACTAAAATGTTTCTTGTATGGAGCTTACCTAAAGTTTTTGGAGACGAATTTTTGGACTACTTTGTCTACTATTTAAGATTTTGCAAATTTATCAACTATTATGTTTGACTATGAAAAGTTTGCGAAGTCTTTTTGTTAAGTAGTAATTATTTATATTTATTATGATTGCCAGAGTAAAGACAATCTTGATTTTCCATGGTGAAAAATATTGTTTTTTACCTGTTTTTCTATTTACAATTTTATTACAAAAATATACTATTAACAAAAATAGTTTTTTTTACCCTGTTTTTTTATTTATATAAAGAACATATTAGAAATAATAATTTTCAAACACTGTGCATTAAAGCAAATGGTCTGAACACTTATTGAAATGTAACTACTACTGCAGTGCAACAAAAGGTATATCAATACTGTGTTCAGGAGTTTGGTTTAGGGACGAGTGATTGTTATCATTTCTTCTGATCAACTGCTTCTCGTAGATGGGATGTATTATAACACACTTCTTTTCGAAGCCATATATCGGTGGCGTAAAGCGAAAGCCACATAATTTTTTTTTTTTTTAATATCTTCATTGTTTATTTCAGAAACAACCTAAGTCACAGTTTGACAGTTTTTATGAGGTGAGAAAAATGTTTTGTAAATCTGAGACTAATTCACGATTTAATATAATTTTCGCGCGCCTGTCATTTTTCACCTATAAGTAGGATATTTGTTTATTTACATTGTGTTTGTTTTGGGCGGGATTTTGTATTTGTGATTTTTTAACTGTTTTTAGATAATATTCACATTATAATAGTGTTTTTAAGTTTCATTTAGTGTTAATTTAAGTTTAGTTTCCTTGCTTTCGTCATAAATATAATATTTATCATGTGTTTATGACTAATTTGTTGGAAATCTTCACCTATCTGGTTGCTACACAAACACCTAGAGATATTTATGTACTAAACGCAGGACATGTTTTATTATGTGTTTTAAAGGACATTTCAGTGCTAAACATTATTGTTGAACTTAATCAAAAATTTTACTATCCCCAGTCTTATATTATGAAGTGAATGGTGTAGTACTTTGTACAAATGTAAACTAGGATTGCAAGTAAACGGTGTACACGGTAGTATAACTGTCACAATTTGATTTTAGACACATTTTTTTCCAAATCTCAATAATGTGAATTTGTAGATATCCATTTATCGTAAGAATGCCAATGTTGCCAAATGATGAACTGATTTTACAAACTTGATGAATGAACTGAAAGAAGAAAAAACAATAAATCGGTTTCATAAAAAATTCTTAAATAAATATATAGTATGATTACATATTGCTAGGACACAAATTTGGCTACTTAAAAAAATGTATTTGCGCTTCTTCAAGGGCTAAAAATCGGACGACGTAGCAAAATTCCGCTACTCCTGGCAACACTGAACAAAGTGCTACTTATACAAATTTCCTCTAGAGGGCGTATCGCTTAGCTTGAATCGATAATAGTCTATCGAAAATGGGTTTTCAATGCTAAATTTTTAGTACAGAAAACAATGAAGCTTTTGACTTCTTTTCACAAAATTTCACTATGCGCAGATTTGAGAAGAAATTATATATACATTTTTTTTTTCAACTTTTTGTATGTACTCAAAAACGATGCGTTTTGATGAAAAATTTTACTGAACTTTTTCTGAAGAACAATCGATGTTCTATCGATTATGTTCTTGTACATTTTTTTGCTAAACTTCATATTTTTGCCACTAGAGCGCGCAAAAGAACAAATGTATATATTTTGCGGTTTTTCGCATTTTAAATAAAAACCACACACCATGGTGGAAATTTTCGTTAAAGCAAAGTTGTAGAATGGAAAATTTCCTGTCGAACCATTGAAACAGATTTTCTGGAAACCCATCGTTTCCGCCGCTACAACGCATGTGCGGAAATTTTCCACCAAAGTGCGTGGTTTTTTATTTAAAATGCGAAAAACCGCAAAACATACATTTGTTTTGGCAAAAAAAGTTCAGTAAAATTTTTCATGAAAACGCATCATTTTTGAGTAAAATACAAAAAATTGGCAAAAAACGCCGAAAAATGTATGTCAGAGTTGAGTCGGATACTTGCAATGTACCCAGATGCTTCTTAAATAAGTAACAGTTATACACCAATAAATTTAATGCTATCTACCCTATCTACATTAGACTGGCTCTCAGTTATGGATAGACTTCCCATACAGCACAAACACATTTCGGAAATATTTCAACAATGTTACATTGAAACATTTACAATGTATAAATATTACGAAACATCCCAGAAACATTTCTGAAATTAAAATTAGAAATCTTATAGAAATATTAAATAGTAATATTCCAGAAATGTATTCTAGTTTTTTTTCCTAATATATTATTAGACTAAAAAAAGACATTTCAAAATATACATGTTTATTAAAAATACACAAAACTCAAACATTGATTCTTAAACAAACAAATAAATATGTTTTAAAGAATACATCATAAAATATAGAAGTGAATTGCTTCATTTCCACCGATTCCTTTAAATGCACTAATTTGAAACAACTAGTTTTTTTTAATAAATGCTTCAAGTAAAGAAACATTTACGATTTTTATAGTCTAATCATTAAGATCAATTAGCAATTTTATTTTTACCTAACTTATCTAGGGATGAAAAACTTCATAAACTAAGATTCTACTCACTATACAGGGTGTACCAATAAAAACTCCCAGGCCGGATATTTTGGTAAGTAATAGAGATATTTTAATTCTGTAAAAGCCAGTTCATAGATCGCTAAGAGAGCTTCAGTTTTAGATATAAATTAATTTGAAATAGGTCAGTAAGTAGATGGCACTGCGCTCAATATATTTTTTTCGATGGGAGGATCTTATTTAACGCATCTTGTAAAAAATACATTTTGAAGCAGATTTTGTTCTATAAACTAATTGGATAAATCTAGCCATTTTTGATATACAGAGTGGGTCACTCAAAATAGTTTCATCCTGTTTTTCGGCATTAATCATTGGATTTTTAGAAAATGCTAAAACAAGTCGATTTTTATTCACAATTAAACACATTTTTACAATACAGACATCTGTCATGTGTCAACCCCCTTCCTTCTACTTCTCCAACCCCTTAATTTTAAAAAGGTAATGTACCATGTATGGCACATCATTGAAAAGGTAAATTAATGGAAAATTCAGAAATATTTCTGTATATTGCGTTACTTAAATTTTATCGCCCTCTAGCGGGATAAAAAACTACTACGTATTATAGAGTGTGACAGTACAATGTGTAGTATATCATTTAAAAGATAATTTTATAGGGAATTTAGAAATATGACTGTTCATTGCGATACTTTTAATTGCACCGCCCTCTATCGGGATAAAAAAACTGTACGTATTATAAAGTGTGACACCTTATTTAAAAGCAAATTTAATAACTAATTCAATGCACCACATAACATTAATATAAATATCCTCCATATTGCACTTGAAATAGTTTGAAAAATATTCATACATTATTTTAAACATTATTGCTAACTTTATTTTGTTGCAAGTGCAATATGGAAATATTTATATGAATGTTATGTGGTGCATTGAATTAGTAATTAAATTAGCTTTCAAATGAAGTGTCGCACTTTATAATACATTACAGGTGTTTTATCCCGATAGAGGGCGCTAAAATTAAAAGTATCGCAATAAACTGTCATTTCTGACTTCCCCATAAAATTACCTTTTCAATGATGTACCGTACATGATACATTCCTTATTTAAAATTAAGGGGTTGGAGAGGTAGAAGGAAGGGGGTTGACACATGACAGATGTCTGTATTGTAAAAATGTGTTTAATTGGGAATAAAAATCGACATGTTTTAGCATTATCTAAAAATCCAAAGATTACTGCCGAAAAACAGGATGAAACTATTTTGAGTGACCCACTCTGTATATCAAAAATGGCTAGATTTATCGAATTAGTTTATAGAACAAAATCTGCTTAAAAATGCATATTTTACAAGATGCGTTATATAAGAAAGATCCTCCAATCGAAAAAAATATATTGAGTGCAGCGCCATCTACCTATTGACCTATTTAAAATTAATTTATATCTAAAACTGAAGCTCTCTTAACGCTCTATGAACTGAATTTTACAGAATTAAAATATCTATTACTTACCAAAATATCTGGCCTGGGAGTTTTTATTGGTACACCCTGTATAGTGTACTTTAGAGTCTAATTATTTAGTTACACTACCGTTAACGTATAACACTGAACTAACTCAAAAGGCCTGGTTCTCTTGAGTCTTCTTATTAGATTGGCATTGTTGAGGAGCTGGATAATCTCAAGGTTTCCATGTTGGAGCAGTCGTTGGTGACTACTGGCAAATTTTTGTATTTTATTTTCAACATTCTCCACTTTAAGGTCCCTATGAAGATCAGTATTACGGCAGTACCAGGATGCATCGACGATGTTCCTTTGTACTTTATTCTGGAAACGTTGAATAACTTGGATGTTATTTTTACTGGCACAGCCCCAAAGCTGGCAAATTGCTTCATTTCCACCAATTCCTTTAAATGCAATAATCTGAAACAAAATATAGGTAATTAAAAAGGATTTATACAAATTATTTGATTAACATTAGTTTTATTAATATTGTTTTCAATTAACTATAATAAAACAATACTCATGTCTAAACAAAACATGCAGATCCACCTAAGCAAGCTTTATTTATGTAGTTCTCACCTTAATTTCTAAAGACATATTCTGCTTCCCACATAAGTTCACAACGCATGAATATCAAAAACCAACAACTCCAATCTATAATTATTTAGAATATAGGCTTGTTTCTAGCTGGTGGCTGGACAGGGACATGATGAAATCAAAAATAAAATAACTACAGATCTTCTAAGAACATAATCGATAGCACATCGATTGTTCTTCAGAAAAAGTTCAGTAAAATTTTTCATCAAAACCCATCAGAAATTCTTTAATTGCTGGCCTTTTACAACATAACACGTTTAGTAACCTTTTGTGTAACATGTATACCATGTTTCAGACACATTTTCAGTGAAATATGTAACTAAAATATTTCAGAAATTTTTTGCTCGAAATGTTATATGTTTGACACGTTTGAAATATTTCTGAAATAATGTGTACTGTATGGTTTTTTTTTTTCGAAACAACCCGCGATGGCTCCAGACCACACAGGTTAGGTAAATCAGTCAAGTTTTTATAATTTACCTAACCTGTACGGCCTAGAGTAAACGCGGGTTGTTTCGCAGAAAAATTGTACATAAAATGAGAAAAAATACCAATATTCCTAACCTGTGTGGCCTGAAGCCTTCGCGGTTTGGTTCACAAAAAAAAATTATACATAAAATAAAAATAATTTCGTAATATAATGCTTTTGATCTTATACCATTTCGATTATATATCATTTCGAACATACAGTACTTATTTTTTTGTATTAGGCATATAGCTATGCTTTCACAGCGACCATGTGGCAACTACCATATCCCGCTATCGTTATGGTGTCTAACTTTATGCCTCACATTCGGTTTGGCTAATATCCTACCACCATATCTTCTAATTCTAGTCGACGACTGGCTGTTGCCATTTTATTAACTTGTAGACGATTTCAATCATTTATTTCAATTTTGTTTCTGTTCCGATCTTTTCTTACTTTCGAACTTTTGTAGTTTTGTTATTTCGAAAAAATTTCCAATCGATTTTTTAAAATTTATTTCACTTAAAATCATCTCACATACCTAAATGAGTTATTAACTCTTACACAAGTTCGTGGCCCCAGTAGTAAACAAGACTTTGCCGGCTCTGCCAGTAAGTCTTTAATGCTGAATCCCGACCGTCTGTATATTGGATGAATCGCCGAATTCGTCATTACCGATGTAGGTTACAGCAATGTTTTTGTTAAACAAAAGGCATGGAAATAATTAAGCCCCTCAGCGCTAGAGTGGTCCAACTGCAAAATTTCACTATTTGTGGTATATTATGCAATGTGTGTATATTTGCCTAAATTTTAAAATTAGACTGACCCAAATGAGCTTTCTCTACTCCTTAATAGCACTTTGAACATTTATTGCATTAGTTTCAGAAAAATATTCCATTATTTCATTTTTTTCCGACACATTGCTTATAAAAAGTAACAAAAAAATGTAATTGTATTTGTAATTGAAAAAGCTTTCAAATAAAAAATTAATCAACCTACCCTTCCATTTAAAAAAAAAGTTGGGGGTGTCTGCAACCCCCCAGATAATTAAAAAGATAAACAAATATATCTTTGTAATATGCCCCATTGAAAATACAAATTGACGTGTTTCAGGGATTTTGTGACAAACCTTTATTTATCGAGTTACAGAATTTGTTCCAGTTAGACTTTCCACTTGGTATGTAATACCTTCTTCCAATTATTCTTATCTCCGCGCATAGTGAAATTTTGTCAAAAGAAGTCAAAACTTTCATTGTTATCTGGGTCTTTATGCTATTACTCAAAATTTTCGTTTCAGGGTAATTTTTTGTCTAATTCCGGCGGAATATAAGGTTGTTGCAGAAATAAACGAATATTTTAATCATTATAAAACCAATGATGCTTACGGGCCTTGATTTCTTTCTGAATTAAATTGTGTGTTACCTCCAAAAATTCATGTTGGCGTAATTAACTTAAAATGGCCAAAATGTGACTTGTTTCTTGTATTCTAGTTAGGGTTACCAGACGTCACGCTTTTTGAATTGCTTGTACGAGCAAAGCTGTAAATAAAAAGAAGGAACCGGATTTATATAAAAATGTAAGGTGAGGACCTTTTTTTTTTTAGAAATTTTATTTAGAATGGACCTGATTATATAAAAATGCTAGGAATTTGAATCTGATACTCTGTCATCACGCTTTTCACTTTCGTAAATATGGCAACCCTAATTCTAGTAAATATCTTGAAAGCCATTATATGACTAAATATGGCAGTTCTGTATCGAGAGCGGTGCTACGTGCATGTAAAACACACTTCCATTTTGTATAATTTAACAGAGCCGTTTTAACTGTCTTCCTTAAAATTTCCTATTTTGGATATACAAGGATTTCACTCAATATGCTTTAATTGGTTTTTAAATTAAAAGTATTAAACAATGTAAAACAATTTTCTATTTATTTTTGTTTGACATTAAAAGTAACACTAACATTGTAACAATATTTAAAGAAATTCGTAATTTTACTATAAAAACTAAAATCAAATTCATTTCTTATTAAGAGAACACTACTTTTATGTCTTAATTACGGCAATTAACATGCCTAATGAGATAATATATTCATGAATACACAGTCTCTTAAAGTTTGCATTATATGGAACACTTTTTAATTATTGTTTTTTGAGAAAAATGTATTCTTGATAAAAGTTAGTGCTTCACTTAAAAGATGATATTAACTTGAAACCTATCTCAAAATATGTTGTAGTTTTATGCTTTAATAAAAAAAATCCTGGTTATCTTTGATTCAATCCCATAGCGCTCAGCGGCCTTTATAAAATTTTATACATTTGTCTAGTCGAAAAAAACTCTCTTATTCAGTTCCTGTTTTGAAGATTGTTGTTTTGGCATTTTTCGAAAATTCTCCAGCACTTTATCGAGATCTGTAACCTGAAATTGAATACTTGTTTCAAGACCAAGAAAGTTTGATCATAGCAAATTTAAATTTGTAGTCTGAGAACCAGCGACCATCAACGAAACGTTATATATCTGACTGCAAAACGGGGCTCGTCGTATTGTTCGCTTGCTCATTTTAGTTGGGTAGAAGGGGGGGGGGCAACATATACTATGTTCCGGTGGTGGGAGCGGTTATGTTACCTGTGAAATTCAAAGTTGCTTATCAATGGATTTTTTCTGACAATAACATAAGCTTCTAGACGTCAGTAACAATAGAAAACCCTTGCAAGCATTTTCTGTAGTTTGGTTTTGCTACTTTCGATAGGTATACGGTTTTCGGCCACGTGATCCGGTATTTATCTTTTGCAACGAGATTCGGAATATAGCTCAAACGCGTTTTTACTGAATCTAAGATGATTTTGAAGCATACAACTTTTAATTGAAGGATTTTCTTCTCCAACCGTAAATAAGAGATATTCGTTAAAGTAAAAAAACGACACCCTATAAAGTATCCCCTCAGATGCCCAAAATGTAATCAACTGACGGCAGGATGGATTAAAGCTTAAGTTTAAAATTTGGTTTCTCTCTTTATCCGTTTTTGAGTTCAAATATCTCGAATACGGTCCATTTTAGGGAAATATACGACAAAAATTACAAAAAATGACATCACAAACAACTTTTATTTGATGAATTTTCTTTTCTAAGCGTAAATAACAGATATATTTCATAAAGTAAAAAAAACGACCTCCCCTATAAACTACCACACCAGATGTTCCGACTAGGCCCAAACAGCTTGGTATATTTGGCTTCAATAAATTAAATTTAGAAATTATAAATGAAAACCGGTATTATTTTAAATAATAAATAAAATTTAAAAATCCATTGCTTAACATACAAAAAAGAAGGCATTTATGCCTACATGGCGACTCAAATCTACAAAATAATATGTAGACCTCTCCTGGAATAAGGACAAACTATTTAAACAGCCGAAGACGTGCATTAAAAAAATATTCAAGTGGCCGAAACTTCTATACTGAGAATCATTACCAATATACGACATCCAGGAAATCCCACACACCATCAAGCCAATAAATATCTCTACGAAAAACTCAATGATGATCTCTCGCTGGCCCTCACTCCTGACTATTTACTGTATTTGGGGACCTTTCCGAGGTTCCGGCTGTTCTAATAATATAAAATAACCGTCCGAATTACATCTGCCATGGCACTACCTTATTTTTGATGCAAATATATATTTTTTATTTTTAAAACGTCTAATCATCTTTTTATTTTATGAATTTCTTTTTATATTCAAAAATTATTTGAAATGTGGCAACCTAACGCTGTATAAATCTCCAAGGTCTTGCCGCGTACCAGAGCCATTTCTCAGCTGGCACTAGGGGAGAGAGAGATTTTACCAGCAGTCTATGTGAGCAACAGAGATGGGGACATTTTACATGTATTTAAACGGTAAAATCGAGGAATGTTTGTGCCAGGCACAGCGCGGATAGCTGTTCAGATAATCGCGGTTTCTCGATAATGTCGATTGTTGCCTGAATTAAGCGAATTTCTTTACGCGCTTTTAGTATTATTAGTGACGTTAATGTGTGTCTTTTTATTTTCAATAAACTTGTTTAAGTATATTATTTCCTATTTTTTAATTGTGACAACGAATAAAATTGGCGTCTTAAAAAACACTGTTAGTGGTTTTTCGCTAGAAGAAAAACTACAAATTAAAGAATTAGGCCGGCCAATAAATTGTATAAGGTTTTGTGGAGCATTTGAGTTAGCTTCAAGGGGTCACGATGAGAAAGATAATTCGGAAAATAGAGACATATTTAAGGAGCTGGTGAATTTTAGCGCAGAATTAGACAACGACTTAAAGGTTCATATTCAAAGTTCAAAAGCTTTCAAAGGTACCTCAAAAATAACCCAAAATGAAGTTCTTGAGTGCATGTTAGATGTTTATCACGAAGAAGTTAGGAAAGAAATAGAAAATTCTCCTTTTGTTGCAGTGATTTCCGATGAAACGACGGACGATGCTTGTGAATTTCAATTAGTTATAGTTTTCAGATATTTGTGTAAAGGACGACCAGTTGAGAGATTTTGGAGGTTTTACATGTTCGATGGACACGACGCCAAATCAATCGCTGAATGCATTTTAAATGTTTTACATCCATTATTAAAACATAGTCCAAATAAATTAATTGCTCAAAGCTATGACGGCGCGTCTGTAATGAGTGGTGGATTAAATGGTGTGCAAAAAAATTATTAAACAAACATATCCTTTTGCAAATTACGTTCATTGCTATGTACACCAGATGAATTTAGTTATGACAAGTGCATGTTCTGTCAATAAGCAGGCTAGAATATTTTTTTCGAATTTATCTGGTTTGTGCTCTTTCTTTTCCACGTCTCCTCAAAGAACAAAAATTTTGGATGAGGTAGTTAATCGCAGGTTGCCAAGATCTTCCCAAACACGTTGGAATTTTCAATCGCGAGGTGTTCATACTGTTTATGGGAATAGAAAAGACCTCATTACAGTTGTGGACATTATAGAAAGTACTTCACGCGATTCGTCTTCTATTAATCCAGCAAGTGGGTACAAATTGAAACTTCGGGATAAAAATGTTATCTTTTGGTTAAGTATTTTTCATCAAATAATGCCTCACGTGGAAATTATTTTTAACCAATTACAAAAAGTATGCACAGATTCTGTTAAGGTCAAGAAAGATTTGGAGAATTTCGAAGCAGCAATTCAAGGTATACGGGAGCAAATGGACAGCATTATTGACAATATTCAAGGAGAAATAAACACGTCGCAAGGAGAAACTGGTGAACCAATAAGAAAAAAGGCACGAATTGAAGAGAACAGCAGAAAACGCGAAGCCTTAGAAATATGCAAATAAAAACAAGGTTCAACTTCTCTGGGCATTTGGTCGCTTCTAATTTATTTATGTCGAACAAGTTTTTGGTCTATAGGCATCAGTTTCCCGAATCATTCCTCAATGAAACATGTATACAATTTTCATTTTTAGACAAAAATATGCTTAAAAATGAATTACAAGTACTGTGTCAGAGAGACGAATTAAGTACCACCTCCGGAGCTGTCAATTTTATTAAATGAGGAAGGTTTAAATTGTACCTTTCAGGACATTTTAAACTTTTAGGTATTTTGACAACAATACCTATGTCAACATCTGAAGCAGAGCGCTGTTTTTCAATGCTTAAACGGATTAAAACATTCCTCAGAAATACAATGAAGGAAGAAAGATTTAGTGCTTTAGGTATGTTGTCCGCAGAAAAACATTTTGTAAATAGAATTGAAAATTTTTAATAATAAAGTAATTGAAAACTTTGCAACCAAAAAAGAAAGAAGAATGGACTTCATTTATCGGAAACTTTAAAACTAGTATATCAAGCAACTTTGTGCGCGTGTGTAAATACTGTAAATAGGCATGGTTTTATTTTTGTGTTTTTTCTGGTATATGGACCTAAAGCCTCTTTATGGTAATAACAAACTGCAAGGACTTTCAGCATTAATTACTGGGGGTAAGTTAATTTATAATTAATTTCTTTGATAAGTTTTGAGTAATTTATTGGCAACCCTGACGGCCTATTTCGTGGCAAAACTTGTGTTAGAAACCTCATAAATAGTAGTCATATAATAGATATAAAAGTATCCGTCCTTCATTTATTTTCTTAATTAAAATTTTATATCTATTTTGACAATACCGTGATAAATTTTTGCCCAAAGCCACTTTTTTAAACGACTTGATTAAAAATTTAGGCGTGGCACCCCAAAAAATTTTTCGCCTCTGTTGGGGGGGCCTCCGACAGGGCGTCTCCGGCGGGGTTTTCACATTTGTTCAAAATCTGGCACTACCATCTCGTATTATCACAAGCCGCCACTGCTATAATATTCATATTTAATACTATGACGTATTGGAGCGAGGCGCTAGACGTTTCACTACTTCAAGCGAACATATGGACTCCATCTCGCCAAGATTTACCAAAGTTATAACAACAAATGAAAGAGCCGGAAGTGGCAGCTACGATTCATATCTACATCGAAGGTTCTAAAACAACAAGGCTCAGGAAGTGGAATATACTCCAATCCTTAAACCTAAACAGAAAATGGGCTGTGAGCAATAGTGCCAGTGTAGTTCAAACCGAGCTCGCGGAGATTCTTATAGCAGCAAAGGAAATCACCAGAAACAAATATCACTGGAAGGAATATGCTCATCTATACATATAGCAGAGAAGCAGTACTCACCTTGGACAGACTACGAATTTACTAAGAGTTGCCATATTTCACACCACAATACGTTATGCGCGAATTCGATGAGATTTCGTCAGCTAAGTATCACACCTCTGAAATTTTTTTGTATCATCAGCCAAGAAGGCAGCCAACAAAATACTTTTTGGACCTGGCCCTGGCCCAAAATATCGGTAGTGACAAACCTAATTAAAGAACATTCTCTTGTGAAATTCAAGGAAAGATGGGATGAAACAAGAAGCTGCAGACTTGCCAGGAAGCTTTTAAGTTATTCCAATAATGCTACAGCAAACAAATTATTGACTATGATTAGACACAGGCATTCTGACTGCTTATTGCCAAGTACGGAAACATCTCTATAACATGGGGCTGTCAGAATCCGTATTCTGCAGGGAGTGCGAACAAAAAGATGAGACTATCGAGCATATCCTCTACGATTGCCCGACGCTCTTATTTATTAGAAGATTTGTGTTCGGCGAGAATTGGATCACACCTACCGATATAAGAGAAGCACCTCTTAATGACCTTGTCAACTACATTATACGGGTCGGATCGGGTACGGTGGTGTAGCGGTCTAACGCGCTTATATTCATTTATAAGCCAAGTTTATGTGTCAGAGACTGCTGGGCTTCGAATCCCAGACCAGACCATGTGGATTTTTAATTAAATTGCATGGTTCGGTATAGGATTTGATGTGTGCCGTATTAATAGAAATTCAATTTCTGTTGATATGACATGCAGATTAAAAAAATTCGCCATACATTACCGTCTCGATGATGGTGGGTGAGGTTTTCCGGGTTTTCCTCACCTGTAAGTCAAATGGCACAATCAATCTTTAAGTCGCCCCGGAGCGCCACGGCAAATAATAATAATAACCGTCCCTTTCCCCGCACAAGCTGTGCTTTTGGGGTTAAAATTCTATCGTAAGGGGGTGAATTAGGGAGAGTATTATTATTAAATCTGCAGGCTGGCTCACGTTAACCCATAACCTTTCACACGTTACAGATACTGTGATGTAAATGACCCTGTTATTTTGTGACCCTGAAAGCGTCTGTCGGAAGTTGCACGTGAAAGTGTCTGGCAATTGTTGATTGGAGTTTATAATTTTATTCAGTTGAACATATTAAAAAATCAAATATTATACTATAACGGTTTACCACATTTTTATGTACCATGAATATCTATCGAAACACCTCATACTTAAAGTTTATAACACATAAATCCTATCTTTTATAGTGTACATACACATGATTAATCATAACGAGCCTTCGAGAAAAATATAATTGGAGTTAACTGATATAATTTAAATGTTTTGAATTGGTACTTTAGCCACTTCCATAGAAAAAAAGCTTTGTAGTACAAGGGATGTTGAAGTAGTCCTTCAACATAATGAATTTAGATCTGAACACAACAAATATTTTAATTTTAACAATTTTTATTTGGGTATAAAAAATCTCAATGCCTACTCTGGCGCACTTTAAATTTCTCGAGGTCATTACGCAATCCACGTCACATTCATGTGGACATTTACTTCAAAAAATATTGGGCAGACGTTTCAAGCACAGACCATACCCTTTAGTTTCAAGCAAACGACGCTTCTTAACCAACGTTGTTTAGCCGCAAACGAATTCTAGAAGATATTTCTCTCGACGACAACCGACATACTTTGCCGTTGTTTGTGATGTAACAGTTCGACGAATTTCGATTAAATAAGTGTTAATTATAGCCGGCTTTTTATTTTCTACAACGACGAACGAAAACCAGCACCTTTTAAGCAAGCAGTTCACTACAGTCTTAGGAATAAATTAAATGTAAATAATGTACATTGTACAGGAAATCACTAAACCCCTTATATAAAATTTAAAAAACGGTATTCAACACAGAGCAAAAAGGAAAAAATTACCGTACAAGTTTGAAAGGAATAATTACAAAATGGATTATAACGTATATCTGGCGGTCGCTGGATCTTAATTTATATTATTGATATTTGTTTTGAGGGCATTTATAACATAAATACTAACCTCTTCTATGGTTCTAGTTAAACCACTTGATTCTGTCGATGACAGGTTAGCAAACTGAACTTTCTTTGGTGAAAATGGAGTGGTGAATTGAGGTTTTTTCTTGAGAATACTCGTAGGTAAATTAACTAAAATAAAAATAGTAACGAAATAGTGGATCGTCTGATAGTTGATTTTAAAACGTTAACTTGTTAATACTTACAATCTTTTTCAATATCTTGTGTGGAGGAAGAAACTGATACTAATGTAGAATTTATTTTATCTTTTTTTGAATGCTTTCTTTTGAGTGTTCTATACCGATTTTTCTCAGTTTTCTTTTCTTCAATAGATTTTGTTAATCGATTGACATCTCCTGTCGCTTCCTGAACGCGATGTTTTACTTCTGAGTGTTGTTTTTTTATGTTTTCCATTTGATTAGAAAAATAAATTTTGCAAGCATCTAAAAAGTCTTTTTTCTTTGTCAAATCAACCAAAAGTGGATTATCGGTTATTTTCTCCAATTCTATTTCAGCGTTTTTTATATTAGTTTCTTCTGTGTTTATTTCTGTTTCCAGTAATTGAATCTTTTCTAGAGCAACTTTTTTATCATTTAGAACATTTTTTTCCGCCATTTTCTCAAAATATTGTGCAAAGAAATTGTTTAGACTTACTGCCTACAATACATCATGAAGTCAAAAATATTTAGAGAAATTACAAAATAATCAAGTTTTTGCTTACTTTAACCTTGTTGTTATTTTCCTCTTTTAATGTACATACTTCATTTTCTAAAATATATAAGTCATATTTCAATACATTTATTTTGGATGTATGTTGTTCAGATAATTCAAATAATTTATTCTCCTTTTCTATTTTCTCATCTTCTAATTTGTTTATTTCAATTTCATTTTTCAAGAGTGCTTGCTGGTTTATCTCTAATTTTTTTTGAAGTTCCTTTTTTATTTCAGAATTTTCGGTTAATTTTAAATTAATTGCTGCAATACGTTCTTTTGTGGAATCAATTCTAAAATATTTAAATATTAATTTAAAAATCAATAATTAAATAATACTAAATTAGTGATTTTTATAAATTTACCTGTTTGTAATGTCCACCAAATTCTCATTCACCTCATTAATCTTTTTAGTTTTTTCAACAGTTGTAGTATTAATATCGTTACTAAGCTCAATTATTTTTTCTTTCTTTTCCGCTAATTCCGTTGTCAATGGTAATATCTCTATATTTGTTTCACAATTTCTTTTAAGATTTTCAACAAGTTTTTTTAGTTTAATTGAATATTCACGTTTATCAACACATTCTGACTTAAGCAGTAAATTTTCGTCTTTTTTATCAGTGCTACCACATTGAGACTTAAAATCATTAATTTTTTTTCTCAATCCTTCTAAATATAAAGCTTTTGTATTAATAGAACTCTCAATTGCAGTCTTCTCATCCAAAATTTTGTTAAATTTTTCTCGAAAGCTTTCTTGAATATATATAGATTTGTTTTTCGTAGAAGCGACATAAACTTTTAATTGTTCATCAATTTCACTAGCATTTAAGATATTTTGCTGTACACGAACAAACTCCTCATTGGTTTGAATAACTTGAGCGTTAATTTTTTCATTTTCTAATTGCAATAAATCAATATTTTTCTTCTCCTCATTAATTTGACGCTTGACTGAGTTATTTTCTAGACTTAATATGTAGGATGATGTTCCTTCAACTTCCTGAAATTACAATTTCTCTAAATAATAATAAGAATAATAATAATAATAATAATACTATTAATAAAGTGACGCTGTGAAACAAAACAAAGCCTACACAGAACACGAGATGAAGTAGTTGAAGCCGATGACACAAAAAAAAAATACTAATAAAAACATTTAAATGTCTATTAAATATTATTTCGAATAATGCTTTATTCGATTTTCGTCGTTATTATACGAGACCTGGAAGAAATGTTGAAAACACTATTTATATTTGATTTAAGTTTTAAGATTCACGTGCGTCCGAATATTAATTTGTCAGTAAATTTGTTATATAGTTTGCAAAATAAAAAAGTAATTCCTTACGATCAGACTGTATGTTAGGTAGGGACTATATGACTCAATTTTTCGATCGGGAAGAAAAAAAACCGTTTAAAATAAGTATATTTTTTAAACATTTCGTACATCGTCCGAACATATACATAGTTGGGTTCGTATATTATTTTAACGGATTTACAGAAAAACATTTTATTGGGCATTTAAAAAAGGCAGTCTTTCGGTCTAAGTTGATAATAAATATAATATCGTAAGAGCCATTTTCGACCAGTCTGGTCATGCTCTAATTCCTCTCTGCCTGGAAAAGAAACTAAAAGAAATAGAGAAAACTGCCTGTGTTAAAACCCCAACTTTCGAACGCCATGGACAAACTACCTTAAATAGTTCAAAACAGCTGCGAGAGCGAATGAATGTTCCGAAAGAGAAAAGGCAGTAAATCTGAGTGCTCCGAAGATCCAAAGTGACCAAGACAAAAATTTTGAGAACCAGCTTTTCCAAGGAATCTGTGACAAACTAGACATGAAGAAAACCAGAACTACAGCGTTTCACTCACAGTCAGATGGAAAGGTAGAGCGAATAAATAAGACCATTGGCAAATATCTGTCAAAAGTGCTTTCCAACCATAAGCGAGATGCGATCAGTACCTTTTGCTCTTCGCAATGGCTTATAGATCCGCTGTCGTAAGACCAAACACCAAACTCCTCTTCGGGCGCGAGATGAAACTACCGTGCAATCTCGAGTTTGGATGCCGACTCACGGGCGGCTTCAGGTCGAATTTTCGGTGGGGGTCATTGCCACTGTATCCATCCCCCTTTTAGCAATTTTTTTAAAATAAACGTCTCAAATTGTCAGAATTGTCCTATCGAGGGACTCATGGCCCCCCTGGAGCCGACCTGGAGAACAAATAGCCGGTGAAGATTATGTGACCTAGTTACGAAAAAAATGGACGATATGCACGAATTGGTTCGCATCTTCAATTCGACAGTGACAAGATGAATAAACGGTACGATACCAAAGCCACATATAGTTATTTCAAGGAAGGCGACTAGGTCTGGTTCCATAACTCAAAAAGAAAGAAGGATTATTCTCCGAAGCTTCAAAGGTCTTGGGAATGTCCGTACTTCACAAAGAAAAAAATTAATGATGCCAAACGGCAAACCTAAGGTAGTTTGAGGGTGACCATGACGAAGAAGAAGTAAATTAACTCCAAGAAACACCTGACCTTGTCTTTGAAGAATTTATGAGTGCAAGATATGGTGTTAAAACTGAGCAACAACAAGATCTGCTTCCGCCAGCATCAAAACGACACTCGAGGTCTGGCATCTGTGTTCCAAAAGAAGTTTGGTCGATTGCCAGAACTTCAAGGTCAATTACCAGCCCCTGGAAAAGCATTGAAACTTCATGGGTCGAATTTCTCTTTTCTATTGGGTAACAAAGAACGCGTTCAAGAGATCTTCACTTATCATGATGTATGGGAAACATTACTTAGTTTGAGGGAGCACGTACCGGAGTCGAATGTATACAAACTAGCCATGCCAAAAATAGAAAACAAGTAGCAGTTCATGCTCTAATTCCTTGAGTCCCTCTCTACCTTATTTAAACCTTTTTGTCCGTCACCTCCGAAATCCCCTTTTGATACATTTATTCCGGACGAAGGCAGACGTTCCTTCTGCGGAGAGTGCGAACCGAAACGCAATTTGAAAGGTTTCCAAATCTGATCCATTCTATTCCAGAAGGTCTGGAATTCTTCTAGAACAGTAGTAGTGCGCTGCATTTTTATATAAATAGCCGAATTTTGCCAGAGTTTTAGTAAGATAAGCAATTTGTAAACATAAATATTGGTAATAATTATTAGTATAAGTGTTTGAGATATAAATATACATAGTTATAAAATACATTAGCGTATTTAGTGTAAATGTAATAAAATAATAAACACTTTAAAATAAACAAACGTTACAATATATACTTATAAATTAGAAAAGAAAAATAAATAAATTATGTATGTAGTCTTTATAAAGGGCGTCCCAAAAAAGTAGTTCAATCCGTTAACCATGGGTCCTTAGGTCAGTGTAAGAAACCTTTATTTTTTTTTTAGATTGGGGCCATCATTTTCAATGTACAGGGTGAAAAAGTTAATTTAAAAAAATACGTTTTTCATTATATTTTTGTCGTTTTATTAAGTAGATGGCTTAAAATTGGTAAACTGGGGTATTTTGGGATGACAAATCATAATTTGAGTCTAAATATCACCTATCTCATAGAGGGCGCTAGTTGTAAGTCACCCTGTATATTGAACATGATGGCCGCAATAAAAAAAATAATAAGAGGTTTCTTACACTGACCGAAGGACCCATGGTTAACGGATTGGCCTAATTTATTGGAATACCCTGTATATCACAGATGGAAGATTCTGGATGTTGCATTCTGACGAAGTCTGTATTCAGTCAACTATATTCTATTCTAATATTGTTCTTTTATACAGTAGGATGAAAAATCGAAGGCGATAAAATTCGTAATACATTAATGGATAGATAATTAAAAAAAAAAAACTAGACAAAATTCATTTTTGACCGCCCTACATAAAATACAAAATTTAAAACTTACTACAAAAAATCTATGATCCTTTGGCTTTGTACATTTGTAGTCTTTGAAATTGCAGCATTAAATCCGAGAAAGTAACGAATTTTTAAAAATGAAAAAGTTTTTGCGAAAAAATTCTAGGAAAAGGGTGGGGAATTCAAAAATATTTTGGAGATATGCAATAGCAATATGAAAAAATAGTTTGTAAAAATGTGAAAAAATTAATTAATTTGTTTAAGATTAACAAAATTTTAATTTTTTGACATTTTTTTAGCTTTGGACTATGGAGTGTAAGAGGTAAGGAGAACTATCTTTGAATAGAAAAAGTGTCCCTCAAAATTTATAAAATTAAGATGGCGCTTCTGTACCAGAGGGGCGCAGACAGTCGATAATCTCACCAATAATGTATATAATTACATATATTGCTCATCCATATGTAATTTCTCACCTATTCTGTATTGTAATGAAACGGTTATCTGATGGATCGTAATTGAAATAATCTGTATCAAAACCAAAATAATCTGTATAGTAATGAATATTACGATACAGATTTTATGTAGGCATTTAATATAAGTACCTTCAATGTAAAATGAGAGTACAAAGAAAAATTATGTCATTATGGGAAATTTTTAATAATAGTAAAAATATTTTTGCTTGATAAATAATACTATTTCAAGCAGGTATGGTGTATATTAGGGTGACCATATTTATTTTAACCCGGTGCTGGACGTTGAATACGATTACAACATCGATGAACTTTGGAGGGATGAAGACCTCTTTTTTTTAGCTCCCGAAAGAAAAATACAAAAACAGAGACATCATGTAGAGAACCATCTTTTTTTTAGCTCATCAAAGATAAATACAATAATAGTTTTGTTATATTTGTTACGTTTCAGTAAATTATGTATTACATTACTGGACAATAATAGAGTTTTGCTGGACAAATAAAATTATACAAGATCAAATACTGGATAGACTTTGAAAATGTGCAATTCATTAAAATGCTGTACATATATGGTCACCATAGGCTTATTGTATACAAGTCCGAAAAAGAAAATGATACTTAACGCGATTTAATGTGAAAAATCCTTAATTTTGATTACACCTAGCAAGAAAAAATTGCAAGAGACTTGCTGAGTTGTTGGTTTTCCAAAAAACATGTACTTAAAACTAATAAAAAAACTATAGACAAAACTTATTTTTCTCTTTATGCTGGAAAGTAATCTTGCTTCATTTTTTTTTTCGAGTTCGACGACTTGTTTTGCCAACTTTTGTGCATCCCCTGACAATGTCATTCGCAAACTGGAGTGCGAGGTTAAACGCACTCCTGGTTGCAATAATGCATTTTAGTGGCGCCTCGCTTTTCGTCATCTATATCTATATATCATTGGATTTTTCCCGTCTAGTACCCGAGCGCCATCTTAATTTTATACATTTTGGAAACTTTTTGATATAATAGGTCTGTTCCAACAACGATCAGAAACCAGTCACTGACACCAGGATTCTGCGCAATATATAATTTGGCGGTCGAAATAATCAACTGCGCAGAATCCTGGTGTCAGTGACTGGTTTCTGATCGTTGTTGGAACAGACCTAATAAACAACCATATAAAATTGTCCTCCTTTCTCATTTTTGGACCCTAAAGAGATAACACAAAAAGGTCAGTTAACCCAATTTTGTTACTTACGATGTTCTGCCTACGAAGACTAGAGAGGAGTGGCGAATCGGCTAACTCAGAATACGTTCTCAAAAAACGAACGCTTATCAAGCTTTTACAATTCACCGCAGGGGCGCTGGTGTTTTTAGGGATGTTAAAAATACATGGTTTCTTATGGGAAATTTTAAATAATTTTTTAAAAATAAACTTTATTGCCAAATAACATACAGAAAATATTGTATTTATTTCTAAATAAGTCTTGCATGGTTTAAATGATAAATTATTTAATTTGTATATAAAATGAAAATTAGGTATGACCAAATTCGAAATGGTTTGTTAAATGGTGAAATCTGATAAGTACAATTTTGGGCAAATTTTTTTTAAATTACACCTAATTATAGTTTTAATAGCTAAATAAAACACAGTTAAAATATTTTTTAATATTATAATACAAGTATAAATGGAGATTCGGAAATATACATGGTATTGCCGCATCCTTTAATTTTGGCCTTCCACTTTTTCTTTTGCTAACAGTACCATTAGTAATATTTTAAATATCTTCTAAAAAGTGTAGCTCGCAAACAGAAACATCTCTAGAAAGTGCTTTATCAGCCCTGTGAATGATAAGCTGCCACTGTCCTAAACGTTTAGGATCCAATAAAAAACATTTACAATGACAAAATTGGGGTTCAACAAAAAAAATAATAGTACATTGGAACTCTTCATCTCACTTTAAAAATCTGAAAAAAAAAATGTTATGTTAAATGTAATGTGTAAAAATATTATTGTTGTTTGTAAGTGAGCATTTATGACTGTAAAATTTTATATTATAGAAATTTGTAATAAAATAAATTATACTCTGTAAAGTACAGGTTGTGACTAGTTTACAATAAATGTATTTATAAAAAAATAAATTATTTTACTTAGACTGCTAGGAGCTTTAAAAAGACTTTGAATTGATTTCTTCTTGCGTTTTCTTTAACGTATGATTTTATATCCCGTTTTATAACCTGATGGAACGAAGCAAATCTTGCTTTGATGTTTTTTGTCACTCATGTTATTTGTAGTCAAGTACTTTTTTCACATTATTTTGATTATTTTCACCCATTTAAAAATAACAATTTATTATAGAAAATTAACATATCTAACTACAGTCAATTTGGCAAATTTTATAAAAAGGACGGAAATTTGTCCCTTGTCGATTCGTCTCCTTCTCTCTAGTCTTGTTAGTTCTGCCGGCAACGTATCGATATGTTTAAAAAATTCTATTTTATAGAAAGTTTTCTAGTATACTAAACTGCACAAAGTACTTTAAACATAAGAAAAATAATTTTCAAGTGCGCCCGTAGGGGTTATATAGGAAAAATATAGGAACTTGTCATATTATTTTTGTGTTTTATCTTAATCCCCCAGTTTGCCCATATTTGTGTGTGATCTTATACAATATGTTAACCAAACTCACCCAGCAGAATAAAGATGAGATACTTAACCTTTTCAGTTCCACTTTCATTAAAAAAACATGACTTAAGTAGATTTGTCCCTCTCCAGGGACATCATTTTTCACAGCATTAAATTGATGAATTTTGACATATTTTATTAGCAATTTAAAAAAATATGTAAATAAAATAAATGAACCAAAAAAAATATTTTTTTACCACAATTAACAGGGCATACTTCAGGGTTACTCAAGAATATGTCCCTCTGGAGGGACAAATACACTGAAAGGGTTAAATATATTTAGAAGTGAGTAGCTCTCGTCTCGCCTATCTGCTGCCGTAATTGGACGCATACGGTTACACCTCTACCGGTAATGGGATAGCAAATAAATATGTTCTATTTCTGTCTATTCAATAGCTATGTTAATAACGTTGGTTTTCTATACCGTTCTCTGGGAGAGAGGTTTGAAAAGTTAACATATTATTGTATACCTAATCATACTTTTGTATGAATGTCTAATAACGCAGTCTTAACTGACTAATAACACAAGTTTGTAAAAAAAAATTCAGCTGCATAGGATGTTTTTGGTATAGGTATTTTATAGAATGCTGAATCCAAAAATAACCATCATGTACAATTTTTTGCAAAACAAGGGGAGTTTAAAAAAGCACAACAGGAATGAAAAAAATCAACTCAGCATAATTTTTCTTATAATTGAAAAGAAAACTATTCTTTCATTACGTATTGTAATGTGAGTCATTTCATTATTCAGTCATGCTCTAATCCTCCAAGTCCCTCTCTGTCTTATTTGGCCTTTGGGGCTCAACTTGTCCGATTATCATACATAATTAAACCCCTTAAGACCAAACATATGTGACGACTATGGCGGAGGAGCTTTCGATGACTATTCGAGAAAGAACGGAATAATGTTTCTAGTGTATTCCAAATATAACTAGATGTCTCTAGTATTGGTGAGAATTCGTGAACATTCTAGGACCTTCGCCATACTTTTAAATTTGTATATAAATATTGGTGTAGGATCAAGCGGAAGTCATTAGTAGATAGACAGTGGTGAATATAAATAGTGAACGATTCAAAAACATTCGACATTCTAA